TTGCGTTAGGCAAAGAACGACTTTGATTGCCCAATAAGTTTTGAAAATGGTTTTAAGAAACCACTACGAGCCTTGCTTGACACTGGTGCGTCAAAAACCTTGGATCGAGCGCCAGTTGAGACTGGGCATAGTGTGTGTATGGCCATGCAAAAAGAAAAATGGCCATTGGTTTAAAAAATGGATCAAAAATGAAAAGGCCAAAGAATTCCGGAGTCGAACAAGTTCATCATGAACCTGTTGAAACCGCAGTTTCAGATAAGACTCTGAAGCCGAGCATTGGGTAGAACCATCAGCCAGAACGTTGTTTCGAGTTTTGCTCTGCAGCAAGGCTCAAAATGCTCTAGCAGCGATCTTTGAGCATCAAGCAACGCTGCTGTGCTGTCTCAATTTGCCCGAAAATGAGCGCTCTTCCACTTCCAGAGTCGCTCAATCGTTTTCACGTTCAACACCACCTTCGCTATCACACTCTCGCGGGGAGGGTTGTTGGATGGCTGAGACGATTGTCGACCACGAGGATCGATATACTTGCCAACGTGGAAAGATGCAGTTGAGCCATCAACGCCTCTACAGAGTTCGGTGTCGCGGTTATTAATCAGACGCGGACACGTAGAAACGTCGTCAGACACTAGGGTCTGATGTCCTCGTCGTAGTCTGTACTTATGAGGATTGCTTGTATTTCAAAATGAAACGATACGGCGACCAGAGCCTGGATGGGCTTGGTAGTCCTGCCAGCGCCGACTCGGAAAGGAGACTCTCCATCTTGTTCATGTTTCCAAGACGAGCAAAACCCCTTTCAAGGTTAGCTGCGATGTGCTGGATCGAATCATCGTGATTGTTGATCTGACGCTAACGAAAGAAATGAGCCATGTAGAAGCTACTGTCTCCAATTCGAGTGAGAATGGAAACGTCAGAAAGTTCTGGAGCTGTTCCTCGCCTGAACGGCAAAGAACGCTCCTTCATATTGGCTTATTCACTTCATCGCTTCACTGATGATAAAAAGAAAAAGGTGAACTGCTGCAAAAATCAAAGAACTTTTGCTTTTGGATAGCAAATAATGTGCTAGGCTACACTTAGCCATTACCTGAAGGTACGTCTATGTATCTTCTGTATGCAGTTCGGATATACAAAAAAAAGATTATAGTATGGTACTCCCAAATGCATACGTGACATCTTGTATCAAGTCACAAACATTCTGTGTGAAACACCTGCTCCTGAATTTGTACTTGTGACGACACCGACGCGTCTCTGTTTTCGAAGTGGGTGGCATAAGCGAGACACTTCTACCGGATACTTTCCACAAATTCGAAGTTCAAGCTCCGTACACCCAAGATCTTGTAAAAGTTGAAGCTGAGGCTCGGCCTTAGCACACCCATAATTTATGAGTCATAAAACCGAGGTTTATCAGTTACACCTCTAGAGCCCTTAGAGTCCTTGATGAATTTTGCATGTGGCTAGAAGACATTAACTCATTTTGATTTAAGGTGTAAATATACCTTTGGGATTTAAAGTCGCTCTTCTTTCCTCCACGTCGAGACTTTTCTTCTCCCCCCACGTCGGGAATCGCTTCATCGTCGCACAAGTGTGTGTTGTGTTAGAGAGACTGTTGTGATCAGCGCCCTCTATCACTAATCAAAGTAAGAACCTTTGACGTAAACACGAGTCCAAATTCATTATGATGTATATCTGAATCGGTACATTTTATTGTTAGCTTTTTGAGATTTGTTGATTTTATGAAAATGAGAGTAGCATATACATAGATCTTTTGATAACTAGTCAAACGCCGTTCGCCTTGTGGCTGATAAGTTATTGGTCCGAACCCATCTCAATCCCTGAGTTGCTACCAAGTATCACTCGTCCATACAATTTTTAAGCTGCAATATTGGAGTGGTAACCAGATTCCACAGCTCGAATGCAGAGCTCGAGACTTCTAGTCGCCTAAAATCGTAGCGCTGTGAACCCACAGCGGCCATTCGTATATATTATTATATCAAACTTACTTAAATCAGTTGAAATTTGCTATGTATAATCTTATTACACGGCTATTCCTACCCGACCCTGACAAAGATATTACATTGCTTTATTCCGCTGGGGTATTATTTTCTTGATTTTAATTCTTGATCTTTCTTGGACGAGTCACCATCCCGAAGTCCTTATTGACTGTGAACCCGCGCCACCCAACGTTAGGTCCAGAAGCATTGACCACTCAACCCACGCCACAGGATCTAAACTTACTTAAATCAGCCAATTTAGACCCGAATTCCAAGTTAGTGCACCACATTTTCGCCATTGAGATGATGCCGTAGACGCAGCGTAGCCCTGCCTCTGGGACAAAAGAGCCCTAACATCGTTACACAAAGTTGCGTATACTTGAAACACGGGCTTATTAAGAAAATTAGATACGAAGAGCTATAAGCCTACAAGAAAGCGAGATCTTACACCAGTCTGATTTGCGCAACTGTTGAATGACGGTCGGATATTTCGGAATCGACTTGATGTATAACACTTGCGTAGATCCACCAGTAATTAATAGCGAAAGTTCATTTTAAATTTCAACCATGCCACTCGCTGCTCCAGCTCCTTTCATTACGCAATTTTATATCCATTTTATCATAATATGCGGCCATAGCTGTAGATCACAGTTGTGCTCCAATGTGTTTGAATAAACCTTCTTATCGAATGGGATTGTATGCATTACTTGCTACTTCGTTCGACTCTATTTAATCTAGTTGTATCAGCGTCGCTAGCATAGAATACATCTTCTACATTGCACAGGCTATTTAACTACAAAATATCAATGTCCACTGTGCTGATTGTACCCCGCGATACTATTACGTTGTGTCATCGTCGTTGTTTAAGTGTAAAATCTCTGTTAATTCAAGTGCATTTTATAATCAAATGAAGTATGCGTGTGAAAACAATGAACGTGAATTTTTTTTCGATATTTCAATTCACAAAAGATGGAGTGAAGGCATAATGGGGGTGCCTTGCGATTTCTATGACACTGGTAAACATTCAGGTGATTGTCATGTTTTAATTCTTCGTCGATTCATCAATTGTTCTGATCTTGTGTGTACTGAGCTTACCAAGTTGCGGTAATCTAATTTGTGCATGATTGGTTTATACCTAGGATTTTCTTTATATCCCTGCGTGCATACTAATACCCTTGTCTCATTAGGAAGCTTAACGCTAAATCCCATATTCATCTACCGGCTCGAATAAGAGAAGCTCACTATTCCAAACTAATCTCTTCGATGATATTGTACATGGCAGACTTATTTATATTCTCGTCACTTCCTGTACACATAAGCTATACCGCTTTGAACAATATATGTGCACATTGTGTTATGAAATAAGATTTTTGATATTATTTTGACGTAGAGCTCTATCAAAGAATTGAACTTGGTAAAGTCATAGTGGGAATACTGCGAGGTTCAGTGTCTTTTACCTCTTTGTCTCAATTTCTCTTGCTTTGCCCAATTAGGAGATGATTCAATATTGCTACACCCTTGAACCTACTAGATGCGAATCGATGTGACGATAAGAGTTCTGTGTCGATCTTATAAGTTTTCGTCGAGCAAACTGGTGCCGGCGGTCATGCAAAGAAGTACAATTTGGCTAAACAACGAAGATCGATACCTTATTTCAGGGGCTGACCAACGTGTGGCTGTAATAACAGTATGATTACACTGGCAAAATTCGCAAAGGATTATTCGTTATGTCTGCAAAATTGATAGTTGATACATTTTCACGGGTATATCTTCATGTGCCAATAAATGTGTTGATCGTGAAAACTGTATAAAATTATGTCCCACAGCCGTAAAATAGTCTAACTAAATTTTCGATTAGTCACTAACCTCATAAAACGACAAGTGTGGAATTTATACAACATCCTAGCACTTCTAAACGTATCCATACTATTTTCACCGTTAAACTTGTACTGCTACAACGAATATTTCATACTTTGTAACGCAAAATGAATGGTAGGTTTATTAATATATGTACGAGTTGCCAGCCCTGTAATGTGGAAAAGAAGGTCGAGAAGAAGCGACAATTAAGAACTGTAAGTGTTTCAGTAACGATGAGTATGGAATGTAAACTTCAGATAAACCGTATGAAGTACAAGAAACAAGGCCCAACCCGGACAGCAAATTTTTCTTCCGCAATGACGTGGTCTGCTTTAAGACGATGCAAGATGGCTCTTTAGTGCGACTACAATCTGAGCTTTCCCGTCGAAAGACCTTCGCCGACTCGATGCAAAAACTTACGACCGGCTTTATATTGTATGTGGAACGTGTCATGTATTTTCGAGGTGTGGAACCATTTCGCGGTGTAGTTTACCGCGTAATAGTGATTAAGATGCCAGCACTGTCCGAAAAATAAACTGGAGACACTCTAAATCAAAATTCGCGAAGACTCAACAAATCATGAAAACAATGTTTTGAGCTGTTGAAGATTTACGTGTTTCTTTCTTGTTAAAAAATTATAACAGCTTACCGATTGAGATGAACGCTAGATGCAGTTGAGACGCATAAACGACCTGCCTGTAGGATGTAAAGCACATGTGCTAGTCATCAAATTTAGCTTTTCTGCTCTCAACAGTCATTACCTTGCGTTAAACTCGGTCGAATCGGTCTCCGTGTCTCAGCAATTCAAACGTATTGACACTCCATCACACAAGATCACACCTTGTCAGCACGAACCACGAGCCCTTCGGTGATAGTATCTGCAATGTTTTTAGTCAGCTACTTTTTATGCCAGTACTGGGCCAATCACGAGATGTGATGGCGCTGCTAGCCTTTCTCTTGCATTTTAATTGGAGAGATTGTAAAAAGCGATGTAACGTTGTTTACAGATTCTCAATATATGTATACACAAACACATTTTAATAGTTTCTAAAGATCGTGTCTGCTGCACCGATCAGTACCGACTCTGTATTTGGTGTTCGGCGTTATTTCCACTACGTCTTTGACATCACCCGTCCTTTTGCAAGCCCCCTAGCCATGTTCAACTGGATATGGCCTCAAAAGCCTGTCACTGGAGACGTCGTCTTAATTACGGGCGGTGCCATGGGGATTGGGCGTCTCATGGCTCTCCGCTTTGCTTCATTAGGTGCCATTGTGATTATCTGGGATCTGCATTCGAAATTTGGTCACAAAGTGGTGCAAGAGATTGAAGCCATAAATGGAAAAGCTGAATTTTACAAGGTAGATGTGACTCATAGAGAGCAAGTGTACGCTACGGGCGAACAAGTTCTCAAGAAGTTCAAGTCCGTCGATATTCTTATCAACAACGCTGGCATCGTCGGAGGACGTCCTTTGCTCGAGTCGTCGGATGCAATGATTGAGCGTACTTTTGCTGTGAATGCCATTTCGCATTTTTGGACTATAAAAACGTTCTTGCCGATAATGAAAGAGCGAAACAAAGGCCACATCGTATCAATTGCCAGTGCCGCAGGCATATTTGGATCTCCGGGGATGGTGGACTACGGAGCCAGCAAGTTTGCAGCTATCGGACTGTTGGTCAGTCTACGACAGGAGCTGCTTGCCGCGGGACTCGTTGGAGTGCACACAACAGTCGTGTGCCCAGGATTCATCGAGACAGGCATGTTTGAAGGAGTGAAGCCTCCATTCTACACAAGGTGGCTATCGCCTGAGTATATAGCGGACCAGATCGTAGCGGCAGTGCGACGAAATCAATGGCGCGTGCTGTTGCCGTCAATTCTAGGACCTTTAGAATTTGTTGCTGTGATCATGCCGATGTGGTTTGTAGACTGGTTCACACGTATCACCAAAACTTCACAGGCCATGGACACCTTCAAGCAGACGCGCAATTATGAATTTAAAGATGAGTAGACCGTGCGTATCTGTAAGAAATAATAGCGCGACTTCTCGATTCTTCTTGGTGATGATTCAGTAAGTGTTGTCCTGCTAAATTTGTAAGTTGTTGTTGAACCAAGCTACTCACATTTTTAAAGCTTATATCGAGTAAACCTCGAATTGTGAGTAAATGATAGTGACAACACTTAACAGTCCTATGCACAGAGGGTTTGAAATGGCACCGTGACGTGACAGATTCTTGTTTGACGAATTAATACCTCAAAATTTTGGATATCAAATCGGACAATTCAGGTGATTTAAATCTTTTTTATTGCTCTAGCTTGAGCGTACAAGCCAATGTACTCATAATTTTATAGGTAGTAGTATATCTATAATTGCAAACAAAGCACCATATTTGCTTGCTCAATCAACGGCGCTTGATCCCTTTCAAGTCGAACTTGTTAGTACGATTTTCACTTTTCCACGGCCACCCAGTTCCTAAACGACCCTTTATGTCTTCTGTGCCATCGACATCCTTCGACGGCGTATCCATCCAAGTGTCCGTTGTACAACTTAAATTCTCTATAGCCTTTTTCTTTAATCTCGATCGACTTTCACTGCGTTGTTGAGCTTGCGCTGTGTCCACCAGTTCGCTCACCATCTTGAGCTGCTCGCGTGCCTGACGCAATAAAAGTCTCGTGTGGCCTTCGTCCTCTTCGTCGCGATATGCCTCGAAGCCTTCGCGAATCTGGCGCCGCACGTCCATTCGTACGTCGATTTCCAGTGGCTTGGTGATGCGTAAAAACTCACGGTATTGCTTGAGGACTACCGTGCGGTTCAGAAAGTATTGAAGCGACTTGATCTCAGACCCTAGCGCTCGCCTCATGCCAAGTTAATGAATAACAAAGAGACACTGATGCTGTCAAGAGAAGCAGTATAGACACCTCTTTATCATTATGGTGAAATATCGGACATAATGTGAATGTAACGGGGTACGCACCCAATTATGCTGTGCGATTACATCAATCGCACTATTTCGGCACTTTACTGTAACCTCGCCTATTTGACTTCCCAGAAGATATGGTCGTGAAATTTAAGGTTATAGCTCACACAAAAATGATTATTTTCATCCGCACCGGCGTAACATTAATAAGCATACTCAGATGACGCCAAAAAAATCTGTTGTGTGTACCTGTCCTTTGTATCCAAAGCTGTATATTAGGTGCTGATTGATCAAAACCCTTTACAAACTAGCAATGTAGTGTTTCAAATGCAGGGTCATTTGTCAGGGGCGACAGATTAAGGATTGGAGCGTTTTCTTGATTCCGTTCATTTTTCAAAGTTGATATATATCACATTCTACAGAGAAAAAGATAATAAACCAATCAAGTTTATGATTTATTGCTGATCCATGTAGTAAAACATCATGTAGAGACAATAAGATAATCCTTTTTTGATTCTGCTTCTGAGGTTAGTAAATAAAAGTATGTAACATAAATGAGTACAAGAAGTTGTACAGAATGATAGTACTACATCACCTCTGGGAGGATTGCATACTGCTAGATGGTTGGGAAGTTTTTCTCGTGGACGACTTGTAGCAGAGGTGCGGAAGCCAAAAAATAGCCGATTACCGTATGCATTCAGTTTGGCAAGATCGGCTGCCGCTCCACTCTTGATTTCGTTTTTCATTCCCACCCATTGACGTGCGGCATTTAAGTGTCAATAGCAGTATATTTGCTATTGACGCTTGAATGCCGCACTAAGGTGGCACGTACAGCTAATGTTCTACTAGACCGACTTCCACACCCTCCACTGTTCACCGACACTGCAACGTTCTTGGGATGTCGATTGTTTTTTCATCTTAATTGCCTTCAGTACATCTCTTGCGTCTTAATATGTCGCGCTTCTGCATACCAATACCGAAAAGCAGCTTCCGGCATACGAATGTTTCGCCCTGCCCCTATAAATCCAGCGTATGTGCTTCGAAGATCTAACCGCACTACGATTGCACCAGTGAGTTTTCACCCCACTAAACGGAAACGCGTTATGTCTGGGTAAGATCCGTTTGCTACTTCGTTCAAGCGATCACTTGCGTCGCCAATACTGAATCATACGCAACGTTGCACTCTCGTTAATGTGAGTTAGAGTCTGAATGATCTTGGCTTTCGGATTGATAATATAATTTACTTTACGAGAGAACATTTGCTGCTAATTCACATTATAGAGCTTGCGGATCTGTTTAGATGTCTCTCAACACCAGGCGAGGCACAACACCCATGCACATGAATCGATACTCCCACGCGTTGTTTGCATTTGGGGATACAAGAATGCGATGATACCAAGTTCTTCTATTGTCCACAATGGCACGTAAAGTAAATCTGGACTCGGATCAAGCTTGGAAAATAAAACCAAAGTTGCACTTTCTGAAGGGGGTTGGGTAGGGAATAGAATCAAACTTGTTTTTTTTTCACATAAATGGATATTCGGCCAATAGTGATTTGCGAATCCCTTAATCATTTTAATCATTGTACACCATTGAATCATGAGTACACTGCGTAATGTTGAGATAAACCTAGCGGAAGAGAGTGATATTGTTTGTTAGCTAAGTGCCTTCGTAACCATCCAAGAGACACTACTAGACCGGCCAGTATACAGATGTGTCAAACTCTGCGGGCAGCAGGATATCACTTAATTTGTTTGTTTCTTGCAATCTCCCGACCATACAGCTAACTGTTAAATACGTCAAAAAATACGCTACTGTGAGCGGTTCACTAAGCTATATTTAAGCAACGCAACATCTATTGGTGCTTTGAGCTGACTGACCCCAAGCTAAGTCAAATCAACTGTATCGCTGCCAAACATCACATCGCTTAGTTTACCAGTGACCTTGATAAATTAAAGTTGTATTCGGGCAGATCGGCTGTATTGCATAAACCAATGACACAATAACTTTGTGATGCTCTGCTACAGGTTGCATCATTCTCGTAACGCAGAATATTGCTATTTTGCTATCAGGATCATCACATCACGACAAATGGAAGATTTGTACTCACGTTAGGAACAGCTATTGACGTAGACGGATCAGGAGATGAATACGGACCAAAAAAAATGTGATACGTATTACTCAAACGTATTGACTTGTTGTTCCAGCTACTGTAAACACAATTTATCATACCAGCTATAGCTACAGCTCCTTAAGGTGTTACCGTATATACGTATGGGAATTTGATTGCGATATAATGGTGAGCGTTAAGACCTTTGGGGATGAGGATGGAGAGAATCTCCTGATCTGGGTAAGAGAGGCCGAGATGGCTATGGCATCCGCCGTGCTCCAGAACGCACAACAGCGCGTGACGCTAGCTATCTCCAAGCTCGGCAGCCGAGCGCGAGAATGGTCACTAACGTGCGGTGCTTCGGTTGAAGCTGCGTTCCCTCCCTTAAAGGAGCTGAAGCGTCAGGTTTTACTAGTGTTCTCGACGCCTATCTAGGCATATCGCGTGCGGTCGCGTTTCATTGCCACCCGACAGGGCAAGTAGGAGATGGTTGACTTTCTTCAAGAGTTGATATTTCTCATTGTCGGGATGGCAGCCGATCCTCTGCCCGAGGTGGATGCAGTCGTCTTATGGAGGGCCTTCGCGCTAGCGTGGCCAGAATGAAAGCCTTCCGTGTTCATCCGTTTTCTTTTGAAGAAACGGTGAATGTGGCATTGAATGCTGAATTCAACTTTTAGTCAGCACGACTTGGGTGGAATAAGCACCCATCGAGCTCGTCGAGCGGGCCTGAGCCAATGAATTTCAGCTATGCTGAGACAGAGGAGGGAGTGCTCCGAGCTGCCGAGCAGCGTGTAAACATCCGACGGCGTTTTGTCTGTGGAGGCACCCGTCACCTTCGGACTGGTTATCCCTGCGAACGGCCCGCCTTTAACCATTCTGGTTTGTCGTTGGGAAATGAGGAGGCCCAGTACACGCGGACGCCCTACTGGGAAGAACTGAGTTCTGTTGAGCCTCAATGGGGTATAGGACAGCAGGGCCCAGCCCGAAGAGCTCCGTGCTCTTGAACACGAAACGTGTATGCAAGCCGGGCTTGCTGGTCGTAAAAGCGACCAAAAATAGCTTTCAGAATCCATAAATGATCGCTATGGATTCCAGTGCAAGGGCAATTATGCTCGACGCTCCACGATCGTAGGAAGTCAGCTGTATGCTGAGGTACTGGAAGCGTGGTTGATCGTCACTGTTCCCTTAGCAGCGTGGGCATGTGTCAAGATGCCGAGGGTCTCTGTTGACCTCTGTGTCAAGTACCTTGACTTCGATAGCGTAGAACGCTGATTAGTCTTGGACTTGGATGCAATTTATTATTTCTTCCTTGCTATGGCACGGTTGGAACGCCAGGAGCCATGGGCTGATTGGCGGTCAAAGACCTTGGGCGCTATGGGCACGTCTCCTGGTGGAGCTTTGGTGAGTTCCGACTTCACCTCTGCTAGAAAGCAGAAGCGCAATTGGCGCGGGCACTGGACCGGGACGGTCAATGTGTGGATACTCCGATATCCAAACTTTGTTCAATACACCTTCGGTGTATTGGACAAGAGTCCCAAACATGGCTCTCGAGCTGAAGGTGAAGTCACACATAGCCTACTGGACACTGCTTGAGTATCAAAGCAGTTGCTACATGCCATGAGTAGCATGGTCAGTCAAGGGACGAGGGTCGAGGGCAACGCTCCAGTGATGCACGATGAGTGGCATGTAACCTACTGAGGAATGCTCACGTTTCGAAGCAGTCGCGGTTTGCATGATTGGACGAGGCCCAAGGCATATTGGGCAAGGACCTTCTGATGCGCGTGGACTAGCACGTTATTCACCAAAAGAAAATTACGGAAATAGCAGCTCTTCGTCGGGTGTTGTCAATGCATGCACACGAATAAGGTGTATGTTGATGCAGATAAGTGCATCTCCGGCGCCGAAGAAATCCCCTATTTAGGGTGCTTTATCTGGAAGC